GAGAGGTTATATGGCATAATGGAGAGAGTACTGGACTCATTTTCAAGAAGACCTGGGTTCAGATCCCACTTCCAAATACTAGTTGTGTGATCACCAGCAGATTGTTTAAATTGTGCCTTTCAGCTTCCTTATCTATAAAATGTGGGTAATAATATCTGTAGTAAAGATAGAACCAAGAAGGCAGAGTAGCAGGAAGCAGGACAAGGAACTCCCTCTCATTTCAAAAAACTCCTTCAAACAGACCTAGAAAACATATTAGATTGAATCCTGATGGGTAAATGCAAGAAAAAGACAGTGAATCATTTTTCTAGCCCATATTGGCACATGGAGACAGACTGAGAAGGGAACATGTGCTCAGGGATGACTTTCTGGGTAGGGAGCCACCCTGATCAGTGGACTGAGAATGGAGGAAGTTCAGAAGAAAGCAGTATTTTGCCTGAAACCCCCCTCCCCCCAAAAGCAGAGTGGAGTCTGTGTTCCAGTTTCTAGCCTGGACTGAATCCTTCAGAGAAATAACCAGTGCAGGAATCATAGACCTAAGGGAGCTTGCAGTTCTATAATCAGCAAAGCTTCCAGATTGGCTAATAAAGGCTGAGTCCAGCAGCATTCTACTGTTGTACAGATCATGAGTCAGCAATCAGATTTTGCCCTGAATCAGACCACTTTGGGAGAAATAAAAGCTTGCAGATCCCCAGCCTAAGCTATCCCTGAAATCGAACACTGAATACCCCAAGAAAGCAGCAACAAGACTAGAAGTGAGCAGAATCTGGCCCTTAGATCAAACTAAAGTTACCAAGAAGGCTGAAAGAATAAGCCAACAAAAAAAGAATACACCGTAAAAAGCTATTTTGTGTTAGGCCAAAAGATTCAAGAGGAGGCTCAACACCTTTTTAGAAGTATAGAACAAAGAAAAGAACAGGGTAGGTGAGGAAAATAATACAGTTGGTTATAGAGTTGGCAGCATCATGAGGGTGAAGACAGCATGATTGGTTACATTAAGAAAAGTGGGCTAACATTCATGGGGCCAACAACTGCCCTTCTCTGTCTTAGAGAAATGCTTGATTGATTTATAAGACCATCCACATCCTGAGGCCATTGATAGTGGACCAGGAATGGCAGAATCCCAGACTCCTGGGAGGAAGATAAGACTCTTTAATAGGGCAGGGATGAATGGTATATCTTGTAGAAATGTACCAGGTCAAGTCAGCTCGTAGTTCTTCAGAGATGTTACAGAGTTTTTCAGGAGCTGGAGTTATTATGAGAAGTAACAAACTATCTTTAATTCAGAGGAGTAGCTGAACTCCTGTGACTAGGAAATGTTCATTGTTTGAGTCTACCTACAAGGTTAGAGATAGTGGACCACACTCCCTGGTGTCCACCTGCATCCTTCAAGGATAGTAGAATTCTTTGGGGCAAGAATAGAATGGTGATTAGTAGAAGAACTGGATTTCTAAACTTTACTCATTATAGGCCAGCTGAATTTCTGAGCTACATTCAGAGACAAAGAACCATGACTTAGGCAGTTACAGGACAAAATCAATTAATTGTAAATAGGATCAATAAAAAATGAAACAGAATCAATTTAATTTTCTCAGTCCTCTCTGAACCCTGTCCTCATCAGTGGTCATAGAAGGAATCTAACAAGTTCTGGAAATGGTTCTGTTATGTTTTGAAGGTCTTAAGAAAAGAATGGAAAGAGAGGGGAAGAATACACTTACAGTAGAAGAAAGGGAAAGGAAGGTTAGGAGAAGTTATCTCACATGATCAGGGTTAAGTAATCAACGATACAGTGAAGGAGAAGGGAGTGAGAGAAGCAGCTGACACTTGAACCTCACTGTCATCTGAACTGGTCACGAGAAGAAAGAAGACACATGCAGTTGGGTACAGAAAATAATTTCACTCAATGGCAAAATAGAAGGGAGAATGGGGAATTAGAGGGAGGATTAATTCTAAGCAAAATAAACTCAACTAGAGATGAAAAAAATATTTGTAGCTCTTTTGGAAGTAACATTGAATGGGAATCTAAGGGAATGTCTCAGAACAAATTATGGTACATAAATGTGATGGAATGTGATTGTGCTATAAGAAATGATGAAGAGGATAGTTTCAGAGAAACCTGGGAAGACTTGTATGAACTGATGAAGGGTGAAGTGAACAGAACCAAGCAGACAATTTATATATTGACAACAAATATGGTAAAGATAAACAACTTTGAAAGAATTAGGAACTCCGATCAACACAATGACCAACACAGCGCAATAGCAGAGGACTCATGATAAAACATGCTATCCATCTCCTTATACAGAGGGGTAAAACTCAAGTGCAGAAAGAGACATATTTTTGGGGGACATAACCAATACAGAAATTTGTTTTTCTTTATTATACTACGCATTTGTAACATGGGCTTTTGTTTTTCTTTTGTTTTTCTTTCTTTTTCTTCTTTCTTTTTTTTTTTTCAGTGTGGGAGAGGAGAGATTGGGGAGGGAAAGAGGGAAAGACAGATTTTTGCTGATAGAAAAACATATAATTCAAAAGAATATCATCTGCAGTACCTACCTCCAGTTGTGATACTTAAATATAATAGTGTATATAAAGTCAGTTATTTTTACCAAATGTGTGACCTTGCATAAATCTCTTCATGTCATCTCTGGGAATTTCTTTGCATGTACTTTGTAAGCCTTCAAAAATCAAGCTTCCCTCCCTCCCCCTTGGGCTGACATGAAATAATTCTCTCTTAGTCTCCTTTGTTGAATTATCATCTACATCCTACACTATAACTGTACAATAATGCCCTGTCCTGGGCCCTCTAGCTCTTTGTATACTCTCTCTGTCTTTCAATCAGCTTCCATGGATTCCATTTTCATCTCTATGTAGATGATGCAGAGATCTATGTTTTCATCTGTGTATCTAGTTTTTCCTGAACTGTTACGCATCACTAATTGCTTATCAGACATTTCTAATTCAACACATCTAAAACAGAACTCATCATTTTCTCCTCCTAACTTCCCTGTTTCTGTCAAGGACATTCACCCAGGCTTGCATCCTCAAGAGTCATTTTCAAATCTTGACTTTCACTCACCCTTCCCCACCCACACCCTCCACATCCAGTTTTTTGCCAAATTGTCGTTTCTACCTCCATAAGATCTCTTTCATCTACCACTTTCTTTCTGTTTGCATAACCACTACCCTAGTTCACCTGAACTATTACAATAGACTCCTGCTTGAGCTTTCTGCCTCCAATCTCTTCCCTTCTTAATACATCCTCCCTACAACTGTCAAAGAGATATTCCTTAAGCATACATAAGACCATGTGACTTCCCTGGCACAAAAATCTCCAGAGTCCTTTTTACCTTTAGGATAAAATAGAAACCCCCCTGTTTGCCAATTAAAATCCTTCATAATGTGGTTTCCATCCCACTTTTGCACAGGTCTCTTCTTTCATAGAATATACTTTCCCTTACCTTTGTCTCCTAAAATCTGTAGGTTCCTTCAAAACTTACCTGAAGTACCACCACCTACATGGGACCTTTCTTTTTCTTCCTAGGTGCTAGTTTGTCACATGCCCTGAAATTTCCTTGTATCTACTTTAAATATATTTTGTATTTATATTTACATGTGTATGTATATATGGGCAGCTAAGTGATGCAGTGAGTAGAATGCCCAATCTGGAGTAAGAAAGACTCATCTTTCTGAGTTCAAATCCAGCTTCATACATTTACTAGCTGTGTGACTCTGGCCAAGTTACTTAATCCTGTCTGCCTCAGTTTCCTCATCTGTAAAATGAACTGGAGAAGGAAATGTCAAACCACTCCAGTATCTTCACCAAGAATAGCCTAAATGGGGCCATCAAGAGTCAGACACGACTGAACAACAACAAATTTAGGGACTGCAAGTAGCAATCATGACTAAAGTTCCTTGAAATGGCTTTATTTTATATAATACACATGTTGTTTCCTCCAGTAGAATATTTTGTCTTTGTATTTGCTTTAAATAAGTAGGTACTGTCTGTTGGTTATGCCATATTAATTTGTCTTTCAGTTATTAGTGGGAAAGGTGTTAGCAGCCAGGATTTACACAAGAGTTCAGTACCCAGAAAACTGATGGATGTTATCTTAACTGATTAATATAGGGCTGGACACAGGTCAAAATTTTGGCAACCTCATATTAATAATAATAGTGATATTATTCTCTCAACAATAATTTTTTTATGTGTAGCTCATATTTGTATGTATACAAAGACTTGTCAGTTGTAAATGAGTTTTTTTCTTAATTTGAATTCCATGTACATTATGTCTAAAATAAAATTTACATTAGAATTAACTATTCTTTCACTTATCCAGCAAATATTTAATGAGCTACTAGTTACTCTGCCCAGGGCATTGAAGGAGATACAAAGATACATTAAACATGATGCCTTTTCTCAAGAGCTTACAATCTTGTAGGCGCTGAAGTGGGAATACAAAGATGAATGGCATGATTTCTATCCTGCATCAGTTCACATTTAATTTTGGTTATTTTAATAATAATACAACAGCTAGCATTTACATAGCACTTTAAGGTTTGCAAAGTACTTTATAAATATGATCTCATTTTATTTTTACCTGTAAGGCAAGAAGACAACTGTTTTTAAAACAACTATTTCTACAGTATGGATTCTTTTTTTTTTTTGATAAATTGCAGGGTCTCGACACTAGAAAGAAAAAATGTGTTTCTAAAAGCATATTTGATTTGTTCAGTGTGATATTATTTAGAATTAATTTTTCCACATAAGTGAAATAAAGGTTTCTTTAAGGAACTGAGAATATGTAAACAAAGTATATAATCCTACCTTTCTAGTTGCACAACATATTACTACTATATTTTTCTTTTCTTTCTTCATTTCCTTTTACAAGACTCAAAAAAGATAAAATCATTTGCTTATTTATATTTCCTGTAACTTCATGTGTTCCAAGTTAGAGAAACAGAATTTTCATCTTTCCCCTTCCTATCTTTTTTGCCAGTATACTTCACTATCCACAGCAGTTCCTGAATTCTTGAAAACTCCTCAAGCTGCTGATCATCCTACATCACGCCCTACAGCTCCTGTGCTCTCTACGAGCACTGTGTCTTCAGCAAAGCCTGGGCCAGCACTGGTAAAGGTAAGTACCCTATGTACATACTTATTAGATTAAAACTGTTTTCTCAGGTTCCCTTGAATTGAAGTATCATAGTGTCATTTGTGGCACCCAAACTGCACAATGTATTTTCAACCTGTAGCCTTGAGAAATGTCTACAGTAACACAGAGTGTGGGTGGACTTGTTTGAATTGTTATCATTAATGATGTAGGAAGTATCATTATCAGCAAACATTGTCTTATAATTATTGGAAAACTTCCAAAAAATTGGTTTAAAGAAAACTTAACAAAGCTATGCAAAAATGTCCCAGGAACTGTAGGACAAGCAATCATCAATCCTTTTTCTCCTGCCTCTGAAGAAAGCTAGAAAAAAAGTTAGCAGATAAAGTTTCAGTGTGACATTTTCTGTGTTTTATGGATTTCACAAAAAGATGCTGACTTTAATAGTTAACATGTGTTTTGGAGTTTGTACTTGAGATCATTACTTAATGTTATCCCAGATGTATTATATGACAGATTCAATGTTTAGTGAACAAAATACAGTTTGTTGTTCTCAATTATGAAATAGAGGTTGACTAGCGAAGCTTGGTCTGTCTGTACTGTTCTTTTAGATAAGCATGAGATTTGTGGCACTGTTCCCACATTTTATGTGGTGAGAATAATTCATTTTTAATGATGCCTCAGAAAGATGATTTTTTTTAATCATACATAATTTTTAAATGATGTTTATTCACTGATATTAATACAGCCATTTTATCTGAGAAGAAAATGAAAGGGGAAATTGTTTCAAATATAGTCTTTATTTAAAGTGTTGTCATGTGGAAGATTAGACTTATTCCGAATAGTACATCATGGCAGTGAGAAGACCGAAGGGTGAAAGTTACATAAGGGAGAGTTGGGCTCTTTATAAGGAGGAACTTCCTCATAATAAGAATTGGGCAAAAGTAGATTGTAAGGAGAATAAATTCTACCACTGTAGATCTTCAAGTGTGGGCTAGATGACCACTTTCTAAAAGCATATTTTTCTTTTATTCTAGCTTATTTTAAAATTCTGGTTTTCCCTACAACTATTATATTATAGACTTGAGGCATTTTGAAGGTCATTCCTTTTTCAAAGGTCGTTCTTAATTCAACTGGTCTAATCCCTTTAAAGACAGAGAAACTAAGGGGTAGAAAAGTTAAATGACTTTTCCAAGGCCACAGCCAGAATCAATGCCAAATCTGGGACTAAAACTGAGATTTACTACTTGTGTGTTTTATCTGATAAGTACTGCATCTGCTTTTACAGCATTCCTGTTACAAATTTTCAAGTCAAGGATAATTTGATATTAGATCCTTGTCTCTGTTCTTCCACATTGCAAAACATCTCCGTCTTTACCTCTCCCCTCCTGCTTCCTTCCTGTCCAGGGAAAAATACCACAGTCAAAAGGAGAGCTAAATCGACATCTACATCATACTTAATCCTGTCCCCTACCCTCCTTGTTTCCATCAATTGTCTCTTTCTTACTTGCATATTCAATCTTTCTCTGTCTAGTAAATCCTTCCCCTCTCCTGTAAACATGCTTAGAATTTCTCTTATCCTTTAAAGGGCATGGGTGGGGTTTGGGCTCAGAGGCAGGCGCTTTCCTGGATTCTGTTTCTCCACATTTGAGTTACACTGTCGTATCCTCTTATTGCCAAACTTCTGTTAAAAGTAGTTTTTACCTATCTGTTACTTCCCCGTTCCCACCACTCCACTGTAATTGTTCTAATAAACAATCATTAATAACCTCCTGATTGTAAAATCAAAAGCCTTTTAAATAGATTTTCCTTTACCTTTCATTAAATACTACTGATCACTCTTTTATGACCTCCTCCATAAGCTTCTCTAAAATTGTACTCTCCTGAATCTTATTTATATTTAGGACACTGAAAGAAAGATCTCCTAAACCTTTTCTTTTTACCCCTTTTCTCTCTACTAGTTCCCTTGGAAAATTCATCTACAGCTTCAGCTATTACCTATTTGCAGAGTATTCATAAAACTGTTTCTACAACTCTGTTGTTGTTGAGTCATTTCAGTTGTGTCCGACTCTCCATGACCCTATTTGGGGTTTTTGTGGGAAAGATGCTGGAGTGGTTTGCCATTTTCTTCTCCAGTTCATTTTACAGATAAGAAACTGAAGCATAGAGTTAAGTGACTTGCCCAGAGTCACATGCTTAGTAAGTGTCTGAGACCAGAGGTCAAATTTGAACCCAGGCTCTCCTGACTCCATGGCTAGTGCTCTATCTGCTGTGCAGCCTAGCTGCCCACTCTTTCAAAGGCTACAGAACCACCTTTGTAGCAGTCTACTGAATCTCAACTTTGATATCTCACTGGTACCTGCAACTGACTACACCCAAAACCAAACTCTCCTTTTCCACAAAATCTGTTCCTCTTTCTTCCTTTTCTCTGTAATGGCATTACTATTTTTCCAATCACCCATACTTTAAACCTGAGTCATCTTTGACCCCTTTTTTTTGCTTACCCACTGTCCAATCAAGTACCAAATTCTTTTGATCCTGCCTATCTGGTTTCTATCCCCTCTTCTCTATTCCCACTGTTATCAAAGTAGTTTGGGCTCACAGTGGCCGTGTCATCAGTCTCTCCAACCTCAGTCTCTGAAGTGTAGTGGGTTCTGCTCCCCTCTGGAGTTTCAAGCCTGTGATTTCATTGAGTAGAATTTGGAAGACTCTCCACAGATAATGAAACTTTCAGTAGCCTCAAGACTACCAAAACATCACCTAGTTTGCATCTAGTCACATAGACTCCAGAACCACATCCAGAAACATTTGGAGCCTCTGCCACAATTCCCTATGTCAGTTCAAACCTGTCTCTCAGTCCCATTGTACTCTTATCATAAACTTGTCCCCATTTCCCAGGGCCTGAGCACTGTCATAAGTAGTGATTTAATATTGACCACAATGACTAACTCCCTCCCTTCTTTTGAATCTCCCATTGTGGTAAAGTCTACCCATCAGTTCACACAAAAAAACTTGCCACCATTCCTTCTCCAACTTCGTCATATCACAGAACTTCAGAGTTGGGTCTTTGTTGAACATCGAGGCCAACCAATATCTGAAAAAGAATATCTGCAATATACTAGACAAGTGGTCATCCAGCCTTTGCAAAGCACTTTTATATATACTATCTCATTTTATCCTCCCAACAGACCTGCGGGGCAAGTGCTACTATTATTCCCATTTTACAAAAGAAACCAATTGAGACAATGGTTAATAACTTATCCAGGATCAAAATTATAAATATCTAAGATAGTATTTAAACTCATTTTCTGACTCCCAATTCTGGTCCTTTATCCACTATATCACCTCGCAGTCAGGTGTAAGACTATTTTTATATTTTTATCCCTGTTGTCTTTCATCTTAGTCACTTTAACTCAGTGTTCTGGCCTGTCAAAATCTTATCAATCTGCCATCTCCCTCCAAGCTTCATAGTTTCTGAAAGTTTGTTAAGATTGTTGTTATGTTTCTATTCAGGTTACAGATAAAAGTTTTGAACAGCATAAGGCCAAACACAGATTGCCTTTTTTTATTATGAATTTGACAAACATGAAATTGTCCACATACAAAGAATAAAAAATGGATTATATGAAACAGTGAATCTCTATTACATACAGCTTGTTTTTTCAAGTATATGTTAAATTTAACATGATAGTACCAGTATTGCCCTACATGTCTGTCTCCTGAACTTCCTTCTGCTTTCTTTTAACCTTAATTGGTCATTGATAATTCTTTTTTTTTCTTTTTAGCAGCACTTATCACTACTTATTTCTCCCCACATCATTCTCTCCCCTTCCCCCAAAAGTTCCCTGCCTTGTAATAAATAAGTCAGAAGGTTAGGGTTACAGTCAAGTTTATTTCTTCTGTATGTGTCTTTTTAAAATCTTAATTTGTTGGTTAGTATCCATATCATTTCTTTAGACTTAGCCTTTTTTTTCCTCATAGAAATTGTTTCTGTTTTTGTATTCAGAATTTCATTCTGGGGAGTTTCTCTTACCATCATGACAATGTGTGCTGCTTAGCTACGGCAAAATTTTGTTTTATCAACTATTGCTCATTCACTCAGAACATAACCTTCTTTTTGAACCATACCTTTTATTGTCACTATCCCAATATTTCCCCTCACTAATAGAACCTCTTCTTATCTGCCTAACTGCAAAAACTGTCAGATTTGCGATAGTGTGACACTGATACCTGGAGAGTATTGAAAGTAGAAGAATAAGATGTGTCTTTCAACAAAGTACCTCTAGTTCAAGCATTTTTCAGAAACTAAATTAAAAAATCAGACCTTTTTGAGTCATCCAGGTTGTTAATTAGCCCGGGGGCCTTCTGACTAGAATGTCTTTACTCTGGCGCACCCAATTGTTTCATTGGTTCTTGCTGGTAAAATAACAATAGAGTCACCAGCTTTGCAGTCATTCCAGAAAAAGTTTGTACTCCAAGAAAGACTGGACTCTCCAAGCACAGTATAGTCAATTACAATACTTGATTGAATAGAAGAGCTATAAAATAAAGAATCATACCTAGTAAACTGCTTGGAAATACCTTGCCTAAATCCCCAAGGCCAAGGCATTGAGCCAAACAGGTATTAATAGAAGCAGGATCAGAAGCAACAGAGATTTGAGCAAACAAAGCTTCCTACTCTTGAGTTTGTTCCATCTATCCTATCTGTTTCAACTCTTCTTAATTTCTGATTCTAAACTATGGCTTTTATTTCTGTGTTTTGGATTAACCTTGGAATTTTTTTAATTACTCTGATACCTTCTAGGTTATCAATTTTAATTACCCCATTCACACCTTAGCTTCAGTGATTCAAATTATACTCATTTACTTTGCATGGGGGTACTAAGTGAATTTATGAACATTTAAAAAATGCTATGTCAATCTCACTTTTAGATAAAAGTTTTGAGGGAAATTATTGATAATAGATGGTTATTAGGTTTGTTTTCATAAGGAAAATGGTTAAAACAAGGACAGTGGAAATTGAT